GTTATAGTTGAAAAGATGAAATGTTTTTTTGGAAAAGATTAAATATTATCATGGAGACATCCCTCAGTAAAGCAGCACCCCTGAGATCATGGTTTCTGCTGCTGCCATGCCCATTTCAGCCCCATCCTGGCAATATGCAATCGCATGATTCACTGGTTCAAGGAGCTGATCCAGCTGAAAACTGCCTTTTTTTTTTTTCTCCAGGTGAATTTTCCATTGGCTCAGCTGCCTGAGCTGGCCTGCAGTGCAACAGAGGCTGGGGCCAGATCAAGCGGAGGCATGAGAGGGCAGGACGCAGGAGCTGCGCTACCTCCGTGAGCTCTAGCTACAGCGCTAACGCTCCTACAGGTGCGACCTCCCCCCTTCCCCTCTCCACTGCAAAAGACAATCCCGATAGTCTCTTCTATAACACAGGGATGATCAATGTATTTACACAAAATAGCTAGCCAAAGCCACCTCCCAAATTGCTGAGAGTCACTACGCTGAGGGAGGATGTGGGTTGCTGGGCTACACGCTTGACACCAGTAGCGATCCACTAAGGGGCCGAGATAACAGGTAAATCTGTCTACAAAATTATCACCTGCTTATGTTTCCTTTTGCCTTTTGCAGAACTTTTATCAGACGGCTGCTTCTGGGATTCTCTCGCGTGCTTCTCCGGCACGTTTTTCTTTTCCGCTTTGGGTGCGTCAGCATCCTTGTAAGGCTTCCCTGGTATTCTTGATAAGAGGCTCAGGTCAATCTTCACAATAAGTGGGTACCTTTCATCAGGATCACTGAGTGGTGAAAGAAGCTCTTTCTCTTCCATAGGAGAGAACATTCTTTGCCGAAAAAAGCTGTCATCCTCCTCCATGGAAGATTTAACAGGAGTCCTATTGCTCTCAGAGTATTTGGGTGTTTGTGATGAAGGAGGCAGGCTCTCATTTTCATCTGAATCAGAGGATGAGGTATCTGTTTCTATGAATTCCCTGGATTTCTGGGCAGATTTGCTTGAAGCTTTGTATTTCTTCTTCTCTGTGGTAGGCCGAGGGGAAGATTTGGGCTCTTTCTTTATATTGGGTTTTCTGGAGCCTTTTGTGGCTGCCTTATGCCTGTTTGAAGGTATATTTGTTGCCATGTCTACTGGGGTTTCACTTTCTATTTTAAGACCTCCTCTAGGCTCTTCAACAGATGTCTTTTCTGCTTTCTTGGGCTGCTTTTTACCTACAGTCCTCCTCTGTGTTGAGCTGTCACTCTGGGCAGGTGATTTCTGCCTGCCGCGACTGCTCTCCGAGCCCTTTTGGGTGGGTTTGGAATCTCGCCCCGGTGTAGAAGAAATCGAATCTTTGGATCCGCTTTGATCAGTGTACCCGCTCCCTGTCCCCTGATCCCGTCCCTCTTTTTTGTAGCCTTGGGAGGATGGGATATTGCTGTCCACGGAAGAAGCTGGTGACACTTTATGTGAATTAACTTTGTTCAACCAATTATCCAGTTGCCACTTGTTTGTTGGTGGTGGCTCTGGCTAAAAACAAATTAAAAAACAGCATTAGATAAACTATTTCACACTTCTTCCATCTTTTCCATGGGACAGCTGTACTATGCTGCATGCCAAAGCAAGAGGTACACCAAAAAAACCTGAGATAACTAACTAATGAATATAGGTAACAAATAACAGCTCTCATTTTTCCTTCAGCTGGAGCAGCTGCTATTAACAGGCAACACTTGCTGCCACAGCTTTCCAGCATAAAAGGCCACAGTTTTTTAAGCTACTGTTACTATACCTAATTTCTGCACTCCAATAGATAACTGGTGGTAAAAGTCACCTCAAACTCAAACATCAAATGTGTGCTTATATAAAGAATTGTTACCATATCCAATTACAAGTACTTCAGCAAAAGAATATTCCACGTTGAAAGCGATCCCACGTTTGTAAGCCTAATTTTTTTTTTTTTTTTCTAAACAGTTTGAGAATGTATTAATTTTTTTCTGCCTTTAAAACTCAGGATCAATGCCAAGCTAATGAAGACAGCCCAAATACATGTCAAATCCTACCTCGGGGGATGCACTCTGTGACGGTTCATTAGCTTCACTATCACTGGAACTGCTTTCACTTTCAGAGTCAGATCCTGAACTGCTTTCGGATCCGCTATGGCTGCTCGAGTCATCCCTTGAGTTATCTGCTCCTTCACTGTTATGCTGTGAAGGTTCAGAATTACTGAAAAGAAAAATGAGGAAAAATAAACAAACGCTACCCAAGGCACAAATATATCCGAGAAGTCCCTTCATTAGAAAGAATAAAATGTAGTATTTTAATTAACATTTATGAGAAAATTCAACATAACTGAACACAGTTCACCCTGGAAACAAACAGCCGCCTTAGTTTTTTCCCCCTTCCCAAAGTGGTTAGTATAATTTGCAGGATATACGCTATTTAATCATTGATTAAATTCTAATCACCTTTTGCTTTAACACAAGACAAAAGACAAACGTGAATTTTAGAAATGAGACCAAGTCAAGAGTGCTGACTGGGCTGAATATCACCACTCTACTTTCTATGCCGCAATCTACCAG